TCTTGTCTGTTGTGAGCCGCCCAGAGTCCCTATGGGAGTGGGCGGCATACAAATTCTAATAAACTTGAAACTGGCCATCAGTGATTAGGACAAGTGTTGGCAAAAATGTCAGCGAACATTCGAATGCAGCCTTGTGCCATAGGAGTTCAAACTCCAGTGGTTCTCATTAGGAGAGCATATAGACTGTATATTTGAATATCTAGTCTGTAGTTTGTTTCTCACCCAGGTAATTATAGGAAGACAATTTCAAGGAAGAGCATGTAGCTGGATGATGCAGTTACTTTCTCTTCCTTGTGAAATGTCAATGTGTGGGTTGGATAATGCAGCCCAGTGAAGCTGTGGCAGATAAACAGTCCTGTGTTATAAATAAATATTTTATTTTCATTCACAGTATACTTGTGGGCTTCCTTTTTAAAAAAAAAAAAGAAGGGGGGAACTGAATGAAAAACAAAATAGATGTATAAATGCATGTATTTTTATTTTAAAGAATAAAATAAAAATATATTTTATTCTGTATCTTTTATTTTGTATTTTTCCAATTGAAAAAGGGAAAATTGGATTGCAGCAATATTGGTCTGAATGATCCTATATTGTTTTTAATATGCTTTCATTGTTCATTATATTCATCCAGCTGTGTTGCATTGAACTCATTTCAGATGTTATACTATATGGTGATAACATTGCAACAGATTAGAAAATACCATTACCAAAACTAATTTGCTTTATTTTGGAAACTCATATATGTCGATTGTTTATCCAGTTTGTATCAGTTCCGTCCTTGCCCAGAACGCTACATTAAATCACATTTACATTTGTGATGATGTTTTCAAGATTGGTAGATATCAAATCAATATAGTCACAATCTGATTTTTTTCCCCAGGAACAATCTGGATATCTTTATCTATATGTGTACCAAAATAACAAATAGTTTTAAAATGTGCTGAAATGACACATTTGTGCTTCAACAAGAAAGAATCCAAAACAAGGCTATTGGAATGCAATTTATTTGTTATCTTTCACAGTAGTGATTTCAGTATTGCCTTGGCCATGTTGAAAAAAATGATTTATCACCTGTGACACTTGTTCAGTATTTTAGCACCATTTTTCCTAGTTCGGCTGAATTTCAGTTAAACAAAATGTTTCCATGATAAGAAGTGGCAAACTGACCTTACAATATGTAAGTGCACCTACAGCAGACAGGATGGTGGTGATAAAAATATGCCATTTTTATCACCAGCTTTGCTCAGGTAGCTGCTCCATGTCATATATTAATCTGAAATGTCCATTAGTTATTATGAGTAGCTTGAGCCTTCAGCAGATAACAGGAGATATACTGTATATGAGGAAGACCTGAATGTAAATCCAAATCATTGACTGAGATATAACTGTTTTTTTTAAAGAGATTGTGACTGACAGAATGGAACATTTATTGATGACTATAACACAACTCTCCAGATTGATGCCAACACTTTTTTAAAAGCAGTGAAGGCATGGGGGAGGATCTATCTTTGTGTCTAGTTGTTTTGGCATGTAGTAACGTACAGGAGTATCCTGAGAGGGATCAGTTGAAGCAGGTTATGTCCAGAATGTGAGGGGGTCTGTAGATATTTTCCCAGCCATCTTTCTGGTTCGTGCAATATAAAGATCCTCAATGGAAGGCTGGTTGCGATTGTTTTTTCTGCAGTCCTAACTATTTGTTGAAGTCTGTACCAGAGGTGGGTTCCTACCTATTCGATCCGATTTGGCCAGCAAAATTTTTCAGGCACCGAACCAGTATAATGGTGGTCAGAATCCACCCCTGGTCTGTACCTGTCCTGCTTGGTTGCTGTGCCAAACCAGAGCGTCATTGAGGTACAAATGACAGAGTCAATAATTCCTCTGAGTCGACACAGGAAGAATGTTCTTCGTTGTGCCTTTTAATGATGGTTCTAACGTTAGGTATTCATTTCAAGTCTATAGAACCAAGAAATTTGAAGGACTCTACTGTTGATATTGTGTTGCCTATTATTGTAAGATGGGGGTGTCAAACCCACAGCCCACAGGCTGGATGTGTCACATGCTTGCCATGCCCGGTTTAGTGAAGGGGGAAAGTCACGATATGTCACGTGATGACATCATGATGATGCAAATTTGGCACCCCTGTTGTAAGAGGTGGTAGAACAGGAGAGAGTAGGTCCTCTTCAACTTTGAAATCATCTTATCCCTGAAAAGTATCACAATTGCATGCTTAACTTCNCACATTAATGAATAAAAACAGGCTAGTCTAGAACAGTTAATACAATAACTTTGCTTTAAAATAATACCTTTCTATTGGTATGCTGCCTTGAATTCCACCAGGGTGAAAAGAGATTCTAAAAATATAGGTTAAATATCTAAACCATTCAATTCAGACACTTTAATCTGGTAATCCGTCTGATCATTTAAGTCTTTTTTGTTAATTACGTTTTTAAACAGGATACCTTTTTTCCCCCAACAATTCTTCAGTGACATGATTTTCATCTTTTTGAACAGGTTTCCTTAGTCAGTTTAATTGCCAATGCCTTGGACTATTCTGAACTTGGTCCTATTAAATCGCTTCGCACCCTGAGAGCTTTGAGACCTTTAAGGGCCTTATCCCGCTTTGAAGGAATGAGGGTAAGTAAGACCAAAGTTATCGGTAACAGCTGTTCCATAGATGCCGATTCGTTGGGGATTTCGGTAGAGTAATTTGTTGGGTGAAGTTATCCGCTGTTTGGCTTTTCCACTATTAGAACCGTTCCCTGTAACAAGGATAAAGATTTGCAGAGAAGATTAACATAGTCACAGTCATTCTGGCGAATAGTTTTTACAGCCAAGTGCATTGTTCTTTTAATGCTATCCTTAGAACCGTTTGTGAGACACATTATGCAGAATTGCAGCATAAGGCGACATAAATTAATCCCAGAACAGATTGTGTCGCTTTGTTTATTGCCAAACAAGCTGTAATTTAAAAGGCAAAAAAGTGCATAAAAACGAGTACTTCATAGACTTCTTCAAATTCAAAATAAGATGTAGATCTTAATCCTCAAGATAGGTTGGGGAAAAAAAAAACCTTAAAATAAATTAGATTTAAATCTGTTTCATTTGCATCCCATCCCATCCCTCTGACACTCATGTTCATTTTCCTTTCCAGCTTGTCTTCATAGGTACGGTATTACTATACCTTCCCTTCACCACATCTTCATTATCTTATTCAGAAGATGATGTTGCTGTTTTTAAGCTAAAATCATAGGTATCTGGTATAAGCCATAGTAACAAACAAATTGAAAATCCTGTCTCACAATGCAAATCCCACCATTCCCTTCTATATGAATCAGAATGTCAGGATGATTATTTCATTATTCCACCGTCACTCCTCCCAATGCATTTGGCTCTGATGCAAAACTTGCCTCTTGCACTGCAAAACTTGCATACTTTCTTGACAAATCAGTCCAAAGATGTCAAGTAGAATCATTATAAATTGTCAATCTAGAGTTCTTCTTTTTTTAAAAAAATCTACCCTATAAACTAGTTGTGGAAACATAATATTTAAGATTCTTCTGTTCTTTATTCCTGATATTTCCTTTTGTGCCACTGAAAGAGAAGAACAATTCTCACTAGCTGCTGCTTTTAGGTGGGCCACATCAGCATGTTTTGTTATGTGAATGTTCCCTGGTGAATTGTCTATGATTATATATTTAGACATCAGGCAATTTAATCTTTCAGGTGCCATAAGACTGTTGGATGTAGACCTACAACCTTTTGCATAATTTTTGTTTTGTTCTCCAGGTGGTGGTGAATGCCTTGGTAGGAGCCATACCCTCAATTATGAATGTGCTTCTTGTTTGTCTTATATTCTGGCTAATTTTCAGCATCATGGGTGTAAATCTGTTCGCTGGTACATTCTTTGAATGTGTAAATAAAACAGATGGAGTAAGGATTTCACATTTGATCGTCCCATTTAAAAATGTCTGTGAGACTTTAGACTATGCCAGATGGAGAAATGTTAAAGTCAACTTTGACAATGTTGCTGCTGGGTATCTCTCTCTTCTTCAAGTTGTAAGTAACTACCATATCAGTATGAATAATAACTTCCCATCTATACTATGTAGTCTATGGTTTCATTGGAAAAATGGAAACAAGTGAAGCCATTAGCCAAACCTTATCAATCCACATCCCTATTTTCAAGCAAGCAATATTTAGCATGGAGGAACAACGTATCAACAGAGCAACATATCAACATTTTCTTTGGTAGAGTTCTTGCTGTATCATCAGCATTTTTGTCAAATGAAAGCCATTGGACTGATCCAGATCAGTGCATTCAGTGACTTGTGTAAAATAGCCACGACTCACTGTTTCAGTTCTTCAGTTCTAACATATTTATGCTTTGCTTCAGTGTCATTCTTCTTCAAGAAGGAAACTTGTGAAAATGAGTTTCGGTTGTTAAAAATAAGGATAGTGAAGAACTATATGTAAAGTCCATCCAGGCAATGCTAAGTGCATTGGCATTTGCATTAGTGTTCACTATTGTGATGCACTATAGTGTTCACAATAGTGCATCACTATTGCTGGCCATCTTATTGTAGGTATCATATGCTAAATTATAAAACTGCAGAACATTTACTTGGCCATTAAAATTAGTTCAGGGTCATTTGTAGACTAGCACAGTTCATTATTCAGAAGCTTTTCATTTCATTCCAAATAGAGGTTTTCATTTTGAAGTCTAGGTTGCATCCGTAGTTCTGTTAATGGAACAGCGTCTGCCATATATCAACGCTGACACTTTTTTTTTTATAGGCTACCTTTAAAGGATGGATGGAAATAATGTATGCTGCTGTTGATTCAACAGGAGTAAGTATAGGATGACAAATCTACATGTGTTCATAATAAGTAGATTTTGCTTTGCCTTCAGATCATATAAAGGAACATTACTGAATGAACGTTACTGCTTTCAGTTAGATTCATTCAGTGGCCAAATGCTTTGGATATCTTTCTTGTCCATCACAGTTTTGGTCTCTAGATATATGAAGATCATCTGGAGTTTAGAAGGCTTATTCATTAGGATCAAACTACAGAAATTTGACTTTTAATTTTGCCTCGACTTTACTTTTTTCTTTGCTTTTCTCTTTTGATAAGAATAATAGGACCTTCAGAGTGATTATTTGTGAGATATCTAAACCTGGATAGAAGAATATTACTTTTCTCCATTTTTTTTCTTCTCCATGTTGGGGAGAGCCCCATGAATAGCCAAGAATACTGAGACAAGATCATCTTCCATTACTCCTTGCCAGGAGAGCATTGAGTAATTGTCGCTCAGCTCCCTCATTTCTCTTGGCAGTTGTAACAACATTTTTTTAAAAAGCATATGGTACATGTGCTGAAATTTTCCTCACCAACAGAGCAGCCATTTTATTTTCTTCAGAACTGTTTGGGACTTAGTTTGACCATCTTCCAATTCATCTAAAATGAATTCTCAGTCTTCTTCCCTCCAGTATTTATGTTGGAAAGAATAACATTAAGGAAGCTAATACCAGATTCTTCCATTATTGCACCAGTGCATCCCACACTGCTTTTCCTCACAGACTTCCTGGGAAATTAATGAAGAAAATGGATTTCCAGTTTTAACCATATATTTTGTATAGAGAGACAGTTTGGTCTGGCAAGTAAGGCACCAGCCTAGAAATCCAGAAACCAGAAGTTCTAGTCCTGCCTTAGAAATGAAAGCTGGTTGGGTGACTTTGGGTCAGTCATTCTACCTTAGCCCATGACTGTGAGTGGTCAGTCAATTCCAGTGGATCAAGACTGAGTTTATCCAAAAAAAGTGGACCCTGCATGTTTGAGAAAATGCTAGGAAGGAAATGATACATTTTGTACATTATTTCATTGTTCCTTTATGGTGATAGTCAGCAAACATTTAGCATACAAATTCTTCATCAGTCCCGAAAACTCATTGGATAATATTTTTCCATGCCTCCTTATTTTATAGATAGAAGAGCAACCCCAATATGAGCATAACCTGTATATGTATCTTTACTTTGTTGGCTTCATTATATTTGGTTCATTCTTCACTTTGAATCTGTTCATTGGCGTCATCATTGATAATTTCAACCAGCAGAAAAAGAAGATAAGTATTCATTAACGCCTGTTAACGTTTTTATTGGCTGTCTTTTTATAATGGATGGTTTTAATGGTTTTTTAAATGTTGCAAGCTTCCTACAGCCATTGGATACAAGATGGGTGGCAAATAAATTTCATAAATAAATAAAATTAAACAATTGAGTTTTCACTTCAATATACTAGTTGTTATAATTAAATAGCTCAAATGTCATTTTACTGAATGAGTTTTATTAGTTCTCACCTTTTGCAACCTTCTGACAAGCTAGGTCAATGGGAAAACCAGATTCACTTAATAACCATGTTACTAACTTAACCACTGCAATGATTTGCTTAACAACCGTGGCAATAAATGTCATAAAATGGGGCAAAACCCACTTAACAAATATCTCACTTAGCAACAGAAGTATTGGGCTCAATTATGGTTGTAAGTCGAGGACTACCTGTACACTGAATTATCTGTGCCATTTCAATTCCATTACGTCAGTTTGGAAACATTTTTTGGAACTCATTGCTATCCCTTATTATTCTACATATCCTGACTAATATAATATTAAAATACATTTCACATCTTCTATCTTATCTTCAGAACATTTTATGAAAACATAATAACCATTGGTTGCAATAGAAATTCTTGAAAAATTCTACTGTTCCACATTCCTTTACTTTGAGAATCTTTCATATTTTTGTTTTAGCTGGTTAGTAGAATTTTATGGGAAGAAATCATCTGTGACCACTCGATTTATTGAGAAAACAACTTATTTCTTCAAAACCTCTTTTTTAAACTACCATGTACAACTTTGTCCTTGTGAGATAAATGGTTATAGCCGTTTTGTTTTACTTCTTTACTTAGGAGGTCAAGATATTTTTATGACAGAAGAACAGAAAAAATATTATAATGCCATGAAAAAATTGGGATCAAAAAAACCACAGAAACCTATACCAAGGCCATCAGTAAGAATGCTTGTTATTTATTTAACTGCGTAAAAACAAATAGAAGTAAAATAGTTTTGTTTTATTGAAATTAAAAATGTATCCTTTTATCAATAACTGAAAAAATAACTCAGTAAAACCATTTCCGATCCTTCAGGGAAATAACAACAAATTGTTTTTTTTTTTCTCCTTTTTTAGAATAAAATACAAGGCTTTGTTTTTGATTTTGTAACCAAACAAGCCTTTGACATCGGCATTATGATTCTTATCTGCCTTAACATGATTACCATGATGGTGGAAACAGCTGACCAGGATACTTCTGTAGAAGATATTTTATATTGGATTAATTTGATTTTTATTGTCCTTTTTACTGCGGAGTGTCTCCTGAAATTGATTGCTCTCCGTTACTATTATTTCACTATTGGCTGGAATATATTTGATTTTGTGGTTGTCATATTCTCCATTGTAGGTAAGAAACTTTTGAAGTAAAATCAGATTAAATTGTGTTATGCATATATTTTTTTTACTTTTTGATAGCTCGCCCATCTTTACTTAAAAAAAAAAAAAGATGGATTCTTGTGCACAGGATACATTGACTTCGTGTTCTATTCCTGTTTTCTCAGTCATATCACTTAGAAAAGGGGGATAGAGCCAATTTCGGATAAAAGAAACCACAAGGATGTTATTTCATTCTGATTTAAAATTACAATAATATTTACTCCTGATTTAAAGTTGCAATACACAATAAACGTATGAAAATATAACTATACAATTTTAACTTGTATAGTTGTTGTTTTTTTGTTTAGGTATGTGCCTGTCAAAGATCATTGAGAAATTCTTTGTATCCCCCACTTTGTTTCGAGTGGTCCGACTTGCCCGGATAGGTCGAATCCTGCGTCTAATCAAGGGGGCAAAGGGGATCCGCACTCTGCTTTTTGCCTTGATGATGTCTCTCCCTGCCTTGTTCAACATTGGTCTCCTCCTTTTCCTGGTCATGTTCATCTACGCCATATTTGGAATGTCCCAATTTGCCTATGTTAAAAGGGAAGCTGGGATTGATGACATGTTCAATTTTGAAACTTTTGCAAACAGTATGNCTCTCTCTCTCTCTCTCTCTCACACACACACACATACTTTTCTAGCTCTCCAAATTCAATGCCATGTATATTGGTGATATATTAATTGATTATCTATCATGCATGCTGAATTTAGTACTAGTGATTTATAAAATTTAACAGGATATGTGAATCTGAGATAAATGAATCTAACGCTGATTTAAAGATGAACAGCAGAAAATTTCTTTTTATTGTATCCTTCCCTCAAAGATGAGCCAAGTTATCAAGGGCATTATTGTTTCTTCCATCTTTTTATTCATATATTGAGTGTTGACAGCTGTATCTACAACTTTGGAATGTGCATAATATGTAAGAAAAGACTCCAGAAATTAATGAGCAGAAATAGTGTATTAACAAAACAAATCCCATTGGTATCTTTGACTCCTTCTTATACCTAATGAAAATTTATTGCAAACCATTGGGATTCAGACAAAACATCTGCAGACATGTTACTTTTGTCAAAATGATGAAACTAGCACTCTACTGTTGTGAAACTAATTTTGCCCTTTTGCGTATATGCAGCTATAGAAGGGACATACATAAAGGGCAGAGCTTGTATCATCGCAATAGGACTCTGTTTCAACATTTGACATACATACTCGGGACACTTCTGGGTTAATGACAGTGTGGAAGGTGGCCCAGGAACCTGCAGTGGAAATGGAATCTGAAATATCTTCTTCCCTTCCGTTTGCTAAGACCTTTCTTGAATTTGCATTTTGTCAGTTAATAAAAACTCACACTTTCCATGTGCAAAACCCAGTTCTGGAAACAAAATGCAGGGGTTTCTATAAAAAGTTTGTGTTATCATAGATAACGGTTCTTTTTTTAGGGCTGTTAAGTTTGTTTAATGCAGATATTCTGGTTTCTAGGCTGTGTACAGAAATTCAAATGTTGTCAGATCGATATAGAGTCTGGGAAAGGCAAATGTTGGTGGAACCTTCGCAAAACTTGCTTTAAGATAGTGGAACACAATTGGTTTGAAACCTTCATTGTCTTCATGATTCTTCTCAGCAGTGGTGCTTTGGTAAGTTGAATCTATTCCATATCCAACTGGAAACAAAACAGTTTAGGATAATCAAGTTATCTAGGATAACTGTTGCTTGTGCTACAACATATAAATATAAATCTAATAAACTAACAAACAAAACAAGATTCCACATTACATGCCATGCAAGTTCTATTGCTTGCGAAATTAGGTAAGTAGACTAATTGGGGGGGGGCAGCCCTAATATTTATACAAATGAAATTGAGTAAATGACAACTAAGGAGGAAAATGTTTATGGTGAAACCCTGGTTATGGGGAAAACGTGTCTGGTATTATCAGTGGTCACTTCAGCATCCAATTAATTTATATGCTAAGGAGACATATGAAATCACGTGGTAGCTATACATGTTTCTAGATGTTCTTCTCTTGTAGCTTTATTAGATTTATATTTATATGTTGTAGCACAAGCAACAGTTATCCTAGATAACTTGATTATCCTAAACTGTTTTGTTTCCAGTTGGATATGGAATAGA